GCATCTGGCATCACATTCTCAAAAATCTGATAGGAAAATACCACAGTCTGTCTCTGAAAACGGTCATGCTCCTGAAGAGGATCTCTCTAAGGAGGAATTTAACAACAGATGAAACAGCAGCACTGTTAGAGAGCGCACACTGGTGGGCAGCAGAGAGGACCCTGCGTTCTATTTCTGACAACACTCAGCGTCTCCTACAAAGTGATGCGGGTCGTCTCGGGTCAGCACTCTGCTGCTGCATGCACTACAGGGAATCTTCCCTGTTCCTTAATCATCTGATTTAGGTTAAGCTAGGTTTTACAAGATGACTCCATTCTGATAAGTTGGAGAGAATTGATCTTTTCAAAATAAAAGAAATCAAAAGATCCCGGGTAAGCTTGTGTGAAATTCCCCAGTTTAAGCCAGCAATACAAAGATAGGATTCAGACGTATTGAAACAGCTCTGGGAACGGTGAGGAGCAGGATGGCAGGGAAACAGAAAACAAGCACACGGCTTGGAGATGGTCATGATAACTTAAGTGAGAAGCAGTCATGGCACAGAAAGGACAGGGTGGTGGAGAACAGGCCAGCGATCACCCACCCTGGGTGCCCAAGTACAGGGACAGAAGAAGTCAGAAGTCGGGATGATACTCGTATTGCTGCCTACGCCTCTGCACGTCACCACCCAGGAAGGAACAGCACAGAAGAGAGAAGCGAATGAAGGCTCCGGGTGGCGAGTTCTTCTCCTCCGTGCCCTGTAACTCAGTCTGCACCCCAAAGTGGAGAAGCCCTGTGGGCTGGAGGCCAAGACTTGCCGCCAGACTTCCGTTCCGCGTGGACGGTAGAGGAAGGGTCACCAGGTGGTGTAGAGCCCTGGGGACAGCTGATGGCTCAGGGAGCAAGCACGGACTGAGGAGGCCCTGGAAAGGAACGTGGAAGGACTGGTGGTGAAGGGGAGCAGAGCGTTTAGCGGGAAGAGACGGAGGAAGCAAGGGCAGCGGCAGAGTTGGGAAATGAGCAGAGAGTAAACAGCGTGGACAGAAGCGGAGAGGCCCCAGAGGGCCTGGCTTCCACTCAGAAGCTGGGCCATGGCTGCGGCAGCAGCGGAAACATCTCGAGAGCGAGGGAGCCCTGGTCAGACCTTGCGAGGCGTCCGGGAGATGCAGCTGCCCAGACATCCTGACCTGTCCACGTCTTGGGTCCACACCACCTCCTCCCGTTCGGGCGCCTGGGAGCGCAGGGCGTGCGATGGGGCGCAGGGCAGGAAGCTGGGGCAGGGGCAGGGGGGCCGTGGAGAAGGAAGTGATGGATGGCTTGTGCTTTAAAAAGAAAGTAAAAATGCTCCTTAGGAGAAAGAACTTACGAGACTTATTGGACAGCTTGCCTACCAGCTCTCCTCGGGGAGTAGCACCAACTGGGTGGCATAAAAGCTCAGTTAATACCTACACGCGACCATGTGGCTTCTTTGCTCGTTACAACTACACTCCCTCAGCCTGGATTTTGGAGATCCCCAACTTTCGGAGAGTGTGGACGAAACTCGCCTTGTCAGCTTCAGTGTGAGTTCCTAAGTTGACTCTGTGTTTGAGTTCTGCAGACATTGCTAAGAGATTTTAACTTGACAACCGAGGGCCGCCTTGTGTGCGGATGGTACAAACATCAAATGATCACAACTGGGCCCTGCCCTGCTTTGATATACAGGGGCTGTGGATATGAGTGGAGGAATTATTCTTGCAAACCATGAAAATGGTTGCAGGGGTCACTTGGATGAAATTACACTATTTCTTCATACACTTCTTTTAGTCAACCTTACATGTTTTGTTTGGTTTTGGGGTGGTTTTTTTGTTTTTGTTTTTGTTTTTGTTTTTGTACTGGGATCAAACTCCAGACCTTGTGCTTGTGAGGCAGGTGCAGTGCAATGAGCTACATCCCCAACCACATGTTTTCTGATTTCTTATCACATAATTGGCTATTGCTTGAAAATCAGAAGCTGTCAAACTACAGCAACTAAAACACTGGATGCCAGTTTCGTATTTTTGGTAAACGTGTGTTTCTAAGTGGATGCTAACTAATTTTCTGTCATGTAACCAGGGCCAAAGGACCATGTGGCTCACAATCCAAGGTGTGGCTGTGATTCCTTGTTTTGGCAGGTGCCCTGCCTACCTTAGTGTGGACATCTCATGTTAGACAAAAGCGGCCCTGCCTGTCCTGGAGGACAACACCGCTCCTTGGAGGGGACCTCCGGGAAGGGAGCTTCCTGGGTCCACAGGGAGTGGAGACCCAGATGGAGCACTTCTCTCTCACGCTGTTCCCACCTTTCCACCCAACTGAAGTCAGCCCAAAGCTGGTCCTGGAGCTGTGCAAGGAAAATACAGGAATAAGCACGGTGCAGGGTTCCCTACCACAGGAGCAGGCCGCCAGTGTGTTCTCTTTGCTGAAGGTTAGAGTCAGGATTTGTTAGGCTAATAATTGTATTTACATGCATGTCAGCCTCAGGTATTTCTCAGTACATAGTATCCCACTGTCCTTCTGGATCACCGCCCTCCCACTGCTTGCAGTGACTAGAACTCTCAGAAGCATGAGATGTGAGGAGTTTCGATCTCTCCATTCCCAGAGCAGCATGTCTTCCACAGGCCTGTGTGTCTGGGGCAGGAGCTGAGACCTGTCTGACCCTGAAGGCTGATGACAGAGGTCACACTGCTTCTGACCGAGGGCAAAAGCAAATCAACCCCAGAATTACCCGGGTTTAAATCAAAACAGACATCAAGGAGTGGTATTATGTAATCCGTAATTATTTCCTTTTCCATGCTGAGTCACGTCAGCCAGCCTAGAGCCGCCCAGCTTCTGGGGTGTGTAAACAACATTGCTTCCTCACAGTGCCTCAGGGTTAGGAAGAGTTCACAGAGAATTACAGGACAGTGTCCAGCGCAGACATGTAGGGATATTGCTTGGTCCTGGACCGGTCCGTATGTCACGGCCTGAATGTAGATGTCCTGCCCAAGCCTCGTGCAGTCATAGGTGGTGCCTTGGGTACTGTGTGAGTCATGGGTGCAATTCCTAACTTCACTAGCGTAATTCTGAGTGTGGCTGGGCAGATTTACTGAAGACAGAAGACCCACCCTGGTGTGGGCGGCTTGTGCCTGGATGGACTATAAAAGGGAAGGGAGGCTTGCTGCCCACTGCTTTTTTCTGCCTGCCTTGCCTGGATTGTTTCTGCCGTGCCCCCTGCTGTGCTGCCCTGTCTGGGAGCCAGCCATGGCCAGAAACCTCTGAAAACTGAGCTAACTAAACCTTTCCTCCTCCTACATGTGGGTGCCAGGCATGTTGACTGGGACAAAGTCTCAGGATTAAAGCTGCTAGACTGAGTGCTACATTTATTTGACACTCTTATGCTTCTCTCGTTTGGTGCCAGTCTTACGTTCAGCCCGGAGTTAGGGTCACCCGTATCCTCTTTCCAGCAGTGGACCAGCTTGGGCGAGAGTGATGGACACTGATGGAAGCAAACGGAGTCTCTGAAGGCCCCAAGATGGGAGAGTTCCATTTCCAGAACACTGTCCCTGTACGATTCCCTCTGCTTGATTTGTTGCATATATTTGTTTTGTTTTTGCCAAAAAACCGAAAACAATGATTTCTGTAATAGCACAACAAACTGGAAAAACGATTTTCTAAAATGCTCGGAAAAGCACCAGGAATTTAGCTCAGTGGAACTCCACCTGCCTCACAAGGGTAAGGCCCTGAGTTCAACCCCTGGGACTAGGGAAAAAAACAAAAAAAAAACAAAAAACAAAAACAGTGGAATTAAAATGCTGGTAAAGTGTGTGTGGAAATTTCACTTTAATTCCAAAATAAATTTAGGTGTGTCTATTTGTTATTCACATTTGTAAGTTATTTTGTAATCTTAGTAAATACTAACACAATTTTAACAACAAATTCAATTTTTTTAAAAGTTGGCCTCTATGTTCACATTGTAACAAGAAAGATCACAAAAAAGTTATCTTGGTCTAATTATTTTGCTTTTGCACCTAAATTCACTCACAAGCTTAGCTTCAAGCTATAAATAATTGAATTATTAAAATAAAATCAAAATAAGTTCAACTTTGGACCTTGAACCAAGCTACCACGGCGTCCTAGGAGACGGCCCGCCTACCATGTTCAGACAAGTATGGACATGCCTGGATAATGTGTTCCTCTTTTCTTTTTGGTACTGGGGATCGAACTCGGGACCTTGCACGTGTGAAGCAGGCAGTGGAACCACTGGCCCTTTTCGTTCATCTTTTCACTTAAAATTCTAAAGTTGGGAAAACACAAAGATGCTTTCCACTAAGCCACAACATAGTACAGGCTTAGCATCCCTAATACAGAAATCAAAACTGTATAATGCTTCAAAATCAAAAATTTTGAGTCATTGATCAAAAAGCTTTGGACTTTGGGACATTTCAGGTTTCAGAGTTCTGGATGGCAAATGCTAACCCAATAGTGTCTGGGAAAATATTCCCAACCAGAAAAACTCAAGTCTGAAGCACTGCTGGCCCCGAGCATTTTGAATTAGGGATACTCAACCTGTCCTCAAAAGTTAATGTTTAACTGAATTATTATTTTAGTGGGACTGCTTGTTGGCAGGAGTATTAGAATAGAACTATATTTTGAAGCAGCACACATATTTAACTAGTGTGTAGTGTGGTGGGTTTTCTACGTTTCACAATCATGCTCTGGAAGGTGACTTTGTCTTGCCTGGCACCCCTGGCACCCCTGGTACCCCAGCATCCCTGGCTGTAACTGACAGAAGCTTTGCTCCGTGGCTCTCTCTTGTAAGCATGGCCTGAAATTGAGTTTTCAAATGGAAGAACCCTGCTGGTTCCTCCACAATTTCCTAAACTCTTGCATTTGGTTTCAAAGACAAGATGAGAGAGGAGTATATGTGCGTATGTGTGTGTTGTGGTCTCAAGTTACCATATGACAAGCACAAGGGACGAAGGTGCGTGTCTCAAAGCTGCAAAGTCATGTTGTTGGCCATCTCTCTGCAGCTGGACCCCGAAGCAAGCACCATCCTGAAAGATCTTCAAGTCAGACTAAGCGGGGTGCTGGATGGGCTCAGCGTCGCCTATGGAGAAAGGTAAGGGGTTGTGTGGGGATTCAGGGCTGTGGTGCTGCCCTCACACCAGCTAAATTCACAACTGAGACTGACTCTGAAAAGCCAGAGGACCCACGGCCTCATGGTGCAGCTCCACCATGCCTGCAGGAGCTGCGCCCTTCACACAGGGCACCTGGCACTGGCTACTCCGGTTCTCACTCACTCGTCTGTTTCCCTGCTCTCCTCTGCCCATCACATCTCACACACGTGTGCAATTCCAGGGCAGAGAGCTTAGCGATGCTGTGGAGCGAGGGAGGAGGGGCGGGAGGAAGAGCTGGACACAGAGAGGACGGGGCATAGTCACGGAGTGCACACCGCGGGGCACCTGGGATGATCTCATCTCCAACCCTCAGGTTACGCCTGGATTCTTGGTGTCGGGACCCAATTACACCCGCCCACAGCCAGGAACTTGGATTCTGTGAACAACTGTACTTTCTTTTCTGTCTTTCTCTTTTTCGATCAACTTAACTTGTTTATGGCATGGAACTGAAGAAAGAGAAGTTCCTCTGGGGGAAACTTCACTTTGGTCCCGTAGCAGAAAGCAGCCACCTCATTAGCAGTGCTAAACTGCAAACCAAACCCATCTTTGAAGAAAGTCATTAATTTAAGATAGAATTTGCTTAAAGAGTGAGTTCCATAAATGTTGCCTTGTCGGTATTTTGTTCTCCAGGAAACTCTGGGAGACAAGAGCATGAACACCATTTTATTTTATGAAGGACACAGCTAAGAGGCAGTGTTGCTTCCTGCTGCCGTCTCCTGATCACAAAGTCAGAACAGGAAAGACCCCGAAAGCACCCTGTGAGGATCCAGCAGAGTGGGGAAGAGGCTGGCTCGGCTGTCTGTTGTCATCAGTTGTGTCCCCAGGAGCCACCCCACAGCACAGGTCTATGGCCTCAGCCTGAAGGCCCACAGCAGTGCCAAGGTTCAGCCTCAGCAGAGCTGGGGCAGAGGCTGCTCCGGGCCAGGCTCATGACTGGGGACCAGCGTGTCTCTCCCTCGCTGTGATTCTGGGAGGTTGTCAGAAGACTGTGCCTTCAGCTATACAGGAATCACTGGGAAAGTAGGGCAGAGGGGCCAGGAAGAGCCAGAAACACACACCACCACTTGGGGAATCGCCGGACTGTAAATACAGAATATCTAAATTTCTTTCTGTAAATGTCTGAATCATCCTGATGAGTAAATTCTCCTTGTTTTGTTTGAGGGAGGGATCTGCAGGCCGTAAAGGGTAAAACAGGCATTCTGCTGGGAAGGTGTGGCGACTTGTTTCTGAGGCTGGAGTGTGCTCTGGTCTCTGTCCCAGCAGGTGCTTGGGCCCAGAACTGACGCCCATGGTGACCCAGGTCCAGCCCCTCCTCCTCCTCCAAGCAAGGGGAAGAAAGTGGCACCTGGCTCAGTTGTACTGTTGGCAAAGCAGGCTGTGTCGCACGCTCCTTAGGACCAGCGGATTGCTGTCCCCTCATTGCTGTGAAGTGTCACATAGGGCACACGGTCCACAGCGATCCCGGGACCATGTAAGAAGCTGGCCTGGAAAGTTAGTCTGCAGCTGCCCAAAGTGAGTCTAAAGGGCAGTCGATGGCTTTAGAAATAGCCGCCTTGGTAAAGCCAGCCTGACCTGTGTCATTAGTGTTAACTGTCCGGGCCTGCAGCTGCTCAATGGCTTTTCAGGGAGCCAATGCAGCACCCAGCCACATGGACACTGAGCCCCTGGAACTGGACACTCATGGTCCCGGCCCAGGAGCCAAGGCAGTGATTCCACCGTGGTGGCACTGGAAAGATGAGAGAGCAGCAGATTTCTGCTTAGTGTTTCTCCCTGTTTGTGGCTGACACTGTGAGCACGAGTGGTAGGCCAGATGAGGGATTTTCCTAGGGATTCCGAGCCCGTTCCTGCCCGTGGTCCTCACAGAGTCTATTATTTTCTGCACCGTGTTTATTCAGGCTAATAAAGACTTTGTCAGCCCAAAAATGGATAGAAAAAAGTTATTAGACGAATTTACTAAAAATTAATAAAGATAAGTCTTTTTCAGTGAAATGTAGACATTGACTTAGCCAGAACTCATGCACAAGTAGAACCCTGCTGTGATCACCCCTGAGGATGCTCACAGTGTCTGATGCCACACCCAGCCATCATCTGATTGCAGTCACAGCGGGTCTGCTTAGCAACCTACCTTTCCCACATTTGAAGTGTGATTTCCAGAGTCTCTGCTCGGTCTCTCCCACCTCACTCCAATAGGAGTGAGTATTGATCTGGCCATTGGTGCAAAAGAAAGTCATTATCTCTGAGATGGTTCTTTCTCCAGCCAAGAGGATCACTGGCAGTCCTGGGGAATCAATTAGCTGGAAGCTGCCAACATCATGTGCCTTCCTTTTCTCTTTCCTCAACTACTACCATAGTCCCAGGTACATACTCCGCCAGCTCACCCACCCGTCCCTGCCTTCTCCTCCACTCCTGTGCTCTCCCTCCCTTCAGCCTCTGCCTGATAAAAGGCCAAATGGTCAGGGATTTCTACACCCCTGGATGGGTGCTTGGAAGATGGTATTCCACTGGACTAGATAAACAGAAAGAGAGCTAAGAAATGAGCCACGTTTCTGGACAGCTGAGATCCTAAATCCAAATGGAAGTCTGGAGAGGCGGGGGATGGTCAAGAAAGTCCAGAAGAAGTCAGAAGCCAAAGGCAGATGGGCCAAACACCATGGAGGATGCAGCATCATGCCTTGAAAATATGCTCAAAATTATGAAACACAGTGTTTATAAACCTGCCTTTACAGGACTGGAACAAGAAAAATACCCACACTGTGATCCTTTACAATCTGTTGAAAATTCCCCCTACTGGGTAAAGCCAAAACCAAAACAACTTCATTAAAATACTTCCTAATGTAAGAATAAAGTTCTCATCTTCCTATGTAAGCAAGAAGCCCTGCTTGTCCGCTTAGTGATGTTTTCAGCACCTAGGACAGCGAAAAAGAGCTCCTACACTCAGATCCATAATGCAAGCACTATTGCAAAAATTCCTCAGCCTCTTCCTACGATGAGGCACTTGTGCATTTGTGTACTTTCCAAAGAACACTGACCGTGCAGTCACTGGGTGTCCTGTAGAAGAACAAGACTGACGATTCAATGCTGAACGCAGCTGTCCGGAGGCCCGACCCTTCCCACAGCTGCAGCCACCCCGTCCTCCTGCGTGGTGTGTGAGCATGGGCCTCACTCCCCTGTTGTTGGAAATGTGGAAGTGTTGTACCTCAGCAGTGACTCTGAGTCGCTGCTGTTCACACCTCTTAGGGAGGAAGCACCACTCCGGTGCTGGCACAGAGAATGAAGAGACAGAGGCAAGATTACTCTCTGTTGGTTTATTTAAAGCTGGAGAGCCATGAGGCAGGGGAAAGAGACAGCCCATCGGTGCATCTGACCATTGTTTCTTTTTTAATCCTTTACTAAGACATCATTGGCATGCAAAATTTGTACATATTTAAATTGTACAACTTGATATTTTGATGTACGTATACATTATGAAGTACTCCCCACATTCTGGGAAGTTCTCTCTCCTCTTGACAGAGATGGCATTGTGTGTGTGCTTAGAAAATTTAAGAGCTAGTCGCTTAGAGGAGTTCTAGATGTGCAGTAAAGTGTTTAACTATTGCTCCAGGTCCCCTTTGTCCTAAGCTTTGCACCTGTGCCAAGGTGTAGAGTGTGTAGTACTGAAGACAACAAGAACCTGACTCTGTGGAGCTTCTATTCTGTGACCAACAGAGTACGCAGTGTGTCAACAAGTGGGCAGAATCACTAAGCGGCAAAATTAAGAACAGTTGAGGAATGGAGACTCACAGAAATATCATTTCACTTTGAGTGCTCAAGTAAGGACGTGGAGACAGTGATGTTTGACGTGTGCCACATAACTGAGTGCCTGGGAGGCATGAGGAGGAGGTCCTGCAAGAGCGAGCACATGCTGGTCACATCCTTGTGGCATCCAAAAGACAGCCAGGTGGCTTCTGTGGCTGGGCTGTGGGGAGCTGAGGGACAGTGACCTCAGGGACAGCTTTTGCAGCACTGTTCAGTCCGTGAAGTGCATTCCGGAGTTTGCTATACTGGATTTTGTTTATAACTTTGTTATAAATGCAGGTTTTTAACCAGGCAGGAACATGATCCAGTCTCTGTAGAGCATTAGCAGGGGTAATTAGGAAACTACTGCACATCGGCCTTTTGGCTAAGATCGAATGTAGGAAACTACTGCACACGTTCAGGAGAAAGATGCTGAGTGTTGCTGTCCAGCAGCAGTTCACTACTGAGCTAAAATCGTGATGCCGGAACTCACCGGGTCCCCAGGGGAAAGCCTTGAACGTCACTTTAGTAAAACAGCCCAGATCCAGGAGTGAGTCCTCCTGGCCTGGATTTGGAAATCAGCAGCATGGAGATGGCGCGGAAGCCACGGGACCAGACATGATTCCCAGGGAAGTGACTGCAGACAGACAAGCGTGGTCAGAGGATGGGAGTGTGGGTCACCAGATACAGTGCGGTCACATTTGAATTTCACATAGGAACGAGTAGTTTTCTAGTGTAATTATGTCCCAAGTACTACATGGACATACTTATCCCAAAAGATAAAGTGAACCACACTTAGCGAGGCACTGGCCTGTGTCTCTATGACCAACATGGCACCCGACTCCAGTGGCCCAAGAGAGTGGTCAGAGAGGAAGCCGTGGGGCGGAGCTGTGGGAGGCAGGTGGAGGTACAACCCCTCGTCCTCCCCAGAGCGGCCTGCTCCCGACCACACTCAGAAAGGCATGGGTCTAACACTGTCTGGGACAGTGGCTAGATGAGCCCCCCGGGCCGTTCAGCCTGGAAACCACGGCTTTGGGCCGTTTTTCACACCGTTTCCAAGTAGGGTTTCATTGAAACAAATTTTTTTTTGTAGTTGAACACTGAGTTTGAAAAGTGGTAGACAAGGGGGTTTCTGCCACGTAAAGCACATCGGCCTCCTTGAGGTAAAGTTAAGACAGACCTCGGCAAGAGGGTTCCTTTTATTCCACAATTTATGTTCCCTGTTTTTAGTTTTCAGCTTGGAATTGAAGAGTGCATAAAACAGATGAGCTTTGAACTCCACCAGATGAGGGCAAATGGAAGCACCGTGTCCAACAGGAACAGTGCCGCACTGGACGCAGAGATGGTGCTACGGCCTCTCATGGAGTTCTTGGACAAAACGTAAGTTTTTCTGCCCAATTTTATCTTTACTTAAATGCGTAGATTGGACTGATAAGGCTTTAAGAAAACACTGCTTCCTGTGTGTAGATTGCCACAAAGGAGTTGTAAGTGAGTTCCATAAAGAGCAGTGCATGTGATTCTTTACTGGATGGGGGAAAAAAGGAATCACAATGCAGAGGGATGGGAGAGGGAAGAAAACAAGAGGGGAGCCGCTGTTGAGAGGCAGAGCGGTAGGATCCCTGCTCATCAGCCAGCATATTTTTTCACTTTCTCCGGGACAGAGAAAGGGTTTGAATTGAGCCGGAATACCAGATTTGTGTCAGAAACCTGCTGGGGAAGAACACGGCGGAAAAGTGGTATCGCTGCCTGGCTCGGCATTTGGGGCAATGGTTCTTCACCAGCCCAGGGCAGCGAGGAGACGGGGCGGCTCCAGCCTGGAGTGAGGAGAGCACCCATGCTGGAGGGAGCGGCCTGGGGTCTTCTGGGCTGACTCAGAGTCAGCCACACTGGCACGGCGGCTGGCTGGCCTTTCTGACGTCTCCTCTCTCGGCCTGCTCAGAAGCCCTAGTTTAGTAAAGATGGAGGCCAACATGATGCGTAAGAGTGTCAGATTGGGGAGTATTTCAGCTTTTAGCCTTGGGGATGTGCAACTGTTAAAATTCATGCAAAACTTCCAAACTCTGAGAAACTCGAGTCCGAAACCCTTCTGGCCCCAGGAGTGGCCAAGGAAGGCTGCAGCTATGCTCAGAGCCAGAACCCCAGTCAGAAAAGTAAGCAGTAGTCATGAGTGCCTATGGACAGGGTCACAGGGTAATTTACCTATGCCACCTCATTAGTTATTGTCAGCAGATTAATAAGTAAAGGGCCGAGATAAAAAACAAGGCCCATAAGGTCTTTCTTTACAGTACATGTTTGCAAGGCATACCGATTAAGTTGAGTAGTTGGTACATACACATGAAACATTTTAGTTCTTCTTTATATCCCCCACAATGAATTAGAAGGAAGCAAGCTGGGAAAAATGGCACATGCCTGAACTAGCAGCAGTCTGGGAGGCTGAGACAGGAGGATTGCAAATTGGACCGCAGCAGGGCAAGTTAGCAAGATCTTGTCTCAAAAAATCAAAAGGGCTGGGGATATAGCTCGGGGTGAATGCCCTGGGTTCAGTCCCAGGTACTGCAACAGAACAAAAGCAAACAAAAAACAAGAGACGGGTAGACTGCAAGCTGGTTTTGAGAAAATCCCCTGAGAAATCATCTTATATTACAAATGCCCAGTTTCTGACTCCGTGCAGTCTCTGTAAGCAACGCGTCTCATTTCCTCACATTTCACCTTCTCCACCGAGAGCTCAGCGCTTCATACAGTGAGCCAAAAGCTCCATTCCCAGCTGGCAGTGATGAGTGGAACTGCAGGCGGGTCCACGGGGCGGCTGTGTCCACGGAGCACTCGTGCCCGTTTTGGCCCTGTCCTTGTGCTGCCCATCTGTGCAGGGTGGCACCGGATAGCACATGCACAAGCCAACCGGAAAACCAAGATCAGTTCTTAGGCTTTTCGGCAGCGCACCTGCAGCAGGGGGCTGAGTTTTCCACGTCTCAGCCTGTCTGAGGAATGTGCAGGAGGAGGGCTGTTGCTGTTCTCCTGGTCTCTACCCAGGTCTGCACTGCAAATACTCACCAGCAAGCCAACGGTGCCTCCCTAGAACAGTGGCTTCCAAGCTAATGGAGCTACAATGACTTCCATGGCTACGTCCACAGGCCTCATCCAGGGAGGGGCTTTCAATGCACTTTTACATATTAGATGTCTACATATAATATGTCAGGAGAAATACCTCCACACTGATATATATATTTTAAAATGCCTTTTTGCCTTTCATATCAATTACTTTCAAGAATAGTTATTTTATTTAAATATTGATTAAGGTCAGTTATTAAAGTTTACTATGCATGTCTTTTACTATGAAAAGAAGCAATTCTGTCTGTCAGAACCAGAGCCAGGGTGATTGTTCCTCAGTCCAAACGTAGACAGGGTACTGAGTGGGGCTGGGCGGAGGGCAGTGAGGCTGCCCTGAACCCTGCGACCCGCTCTGGTCCTCTGTGAGGCAGGCTTAACTCCTCTCCTTATGGAGCCTCACAGAGCCCAGCGTCACTAAAGTGTATTTCACGGGTGTTGCCGCAGCCCCGTGCCCCACACACACCAGGGCTTCATGCACACGCACACTCACTGTGGGCGCTGGGACGCTGGAAGGCATTCCGGGCAGGTGTGGGAAGTGTAGCCTGGCTCTGACCTTCTCTGTAGTTCGCTTTGCAGTGGTTAGGTGGGTCTCGAGGCCTGGCCTTGGGCCTTTGACTGGGGCCTCTGCCCTTTCTCTCTGCTCTGCTTTGGCCACCATGAACTAAACAGCTTGCTCTGCATGCCTTTCTGCCTTGCCATGCCTTGGAGCCAGCTGACCATAGACTGAATCCCCTTATGACGTGAGCCAAACTAACCTGTCCCCCTCGGAGATGAATGCTGGATAGTGTGTCCAGCGCCAGAAAAGCCTACTGACACACACGTCTTTACACAAAAACTGTAACTTCTCGGAGTCTACTTTCATTTCTTACATGGGTGCGACAACATGAGACACTTGTGCAGAAGGGGCTGCGCAGGTGTCATACAGATGCCAGGTGTTACATCATTATTTCACTACGGGGAAAGCTGGTGAAGGATGCTGCACTCCTGGTCAGCTTGGCGGATTTGGGTCCTTGTTTGCAGAGATGTGTACCTAAATTGTGTTGTCAGCTCAGCACCCAGTAGTGGTAAAAATGCATTCCCAGAGTTTTCGATCTGGACCATAAACACGGGCACGTATCAAAGCCGTGCTGGGGAAGGGTGCGGCTCGGGCACGTTGGAGCCTTGGCTTTAGCGCAGTGAGTGCTCTGCTGGCCACCCTGCGCATTCCGTGAGGAGTACTAGTCCCACCGTGTGTCTCCCAACGCCCAAGCAACGCCTGGTGCCCAATTGCAGAAGTTGCTCATGGCAGAGTAGATGTTAAGTATGAATGATAAAGAAGGGTTCCTTCCTTTAATTCTATGCTAATCTGTGTGCTTTGAATATTCTTCTCTCTGACCTGAAATCCCTATCATTTTAAGAACCAATTTAAGGAAATAAATTCTCAGATTTTATTTTCTACAAAATATCTACAAAATTATCTGATGTATAGAATGGGTAAATGCTTTTGATATTATGTATCTTTTTCAATAAGTGGAATTTAGCATTTGAAAATTATAAAGACCTATTCAGGTATTTGAATCTCAGTGGTTAATGTGAATTTAAGGTCAACAGTGTAACTTAATACCATGGTGAGATTTAGCGAGCTCGTGTCCTGTTTCAGATTAAGCCTGTCCGCCAAAATCTGTGAGAAGACAGTGTTGAAGCGAATTTTGAAAGAACTGTGGAAGCTGGTTCTCAACAAAATAGAAAAGCAGATTGTTCTCCCTCCTCTGACAGATCAAGGAGTAAGTACCTGAAATGTGGCTTCACTTTGAGTAATCTATACGCTGCCTTTTGTTTCAGTGACTGGTTCTAGAACATCCAGACAAAATGCTAACCAAATCTATTTAGGGAAAGTCCTTGGCATACAATTTCCTAACAGTGATTGATCAAATTGCATTTTCCTTTCCATAGTGTTACTAGCAGTCACATTTCACACTGGCTTGTCATTCCCTTACCTTTTAAAAGTGAATCCGGTTCGATTTGTAAGGTTATCTGCCCCACTTGTGCTGCTCTAAGTTTTGCTGTGAACCACAGGGATTCGGGGCGGCTGTAGGGACCGAGACTCTTGTGGAGATGTGGCAGCTTCACCGATGCTTTGCTCCATATAACTTTTCACCTTCCTGTCCCGCTGCCCTCTATTCCTGCCCCATGTAGGGGTTAAGAGAGGAGGAGCTCTCAGCGGACCTGAAGAATACGGTTGCGTCACATGCGGGAAGATAAGCCAGGACCAGGAAGGCCGGCTGGCAGCAGCGTTGGCAACGGGCAAGTGGCTGCACAGGGCCAGGAACCCTGGGCCACACACCTGAGCCAGTGAGGAGACTGCAACCTAGCGTGGGCTTTGCTTGGAGGAGTTGTGCTTCCCTGTGACCGAGGAAGAGAAATTGGGGCAAACCCTGAGTGATTACGAGCTAAACTGCGTGTCGACAACATTAATCACGCATGCCAGCCCCTATTTATCCAGTGAATTATATAGACAGAAAAATATTTTTATAAAGTACGCCAACATACAAAATCAACTGTTTTCTTGATTAACTGCCAGGGAGTGATAAAATACAGAATACTTTGCCTTTCTCTGAACGCCTGCACACGCGTTTCGAAAGGCGATGGCCCCATCTGTGGGTGGTAACCGGACAGGCAGACCACGCCAGCCTGCTCACTGCCTTGTGTGCTCCCGGCTACCCGTCCCTGCCCCCGGGGCGGACCAGTGGGCGGTGTCGGCTCCACCTAGGAGCACTGGTCCTGCGGAAGTCTCTGGATCAGAGGTTCTGGGACACAGCAGAGCCCTAACTTCAGTGGAGAGGAGCGAGTGTTCCTGCTGCTGCACACAAAACTTGTCAAGGCAAAGGGCAGGGGTTTGCAGACTCTCCGGAGACTTACTAGCCAGGTCCCCCGTGGGAATCCCACTTCCTGTGCCCCAGGCCCTGCCGGGCACTGCTCCTGCCCACATTTCATCAAGCAGCAATTACTATTTTAATAGCTCTTCAATAGCAAATTCCCACGACTTTGGCTGCCTTGCCCGCTGCTATTTCCCCCATAAACCTTACGATTTCAGTGTGCCATTCTGAAGAATACGAGGCTTAAGTATATAAATACGTATAAATTTAAATATATAAAAGCTGTAACCACACAAAGGCTCTCCATAATGTTTCTTTGTCTGTACAGAGGCTTTTCCTACAGCAGATTACCCTCACGGACCTTCCTGACCATCCGTACCTCCGTGTGAACCTGTACCATTCCCTCACTCTCTACTCACAGAGTGAATAGTATTGAGCTTCTCACTGTGGGCACTGTGCTGGGTGCTGGCAGTAAAACCTGAGCAAACTCAGCCATGGACCCTGCTGTCATGAACCAGGGCCCCTGATTCCCTAATGACTGCACACCCTTCAATAAAAAGAGCATGGAGAATACCAACTCGATTTCCTTTACTTGGGGCACATGCCCAGCTGGTAATGCCTGTGGCCATGCTAGGTGCTGTTCCGTCACCGGGTAGCCGCCTGCCCACTCTGGAGCCAAGGGAGGTGACCAGGCACCCACTGTCTCCTGTGGCTGTGGAGGAAGCGCTGGCCGAGGGACAGTGAGAGGCAGGTGGCCACTGAGTGGCCCCATTCCAGGGGAGCCACTCCCCTTCCCCAGCCCCACGGCTTGACGCTTTTGCAGATGTATTTGCAGAGAAAGAGTAGGAGTTGCCTCTGCTAACCTGTGCGTAAGGGGCAGGTGCCGGTGAGGATAGCCGTGTGCTGGACGGGCCTCTCTGTCCCACTCTTTCAAATGGGCGATAAGGACCAAGGACATGAGGGCCACCAGTGCATCACAGCAAACAAGGAAGCACTCACTGGCCACTTTCCTGCTGCGGCTGACACTGGAGGTGCTGGGTCTGACCTGCCTTTTCTTTTCCTCTGTGTGTTTCCAGGGACCTCAGATGATTTTCATCGCAGCGAAAGACCTTGGGCAGTTATCCAAACTGAAGGTAAGAGAGTGAGGGAGCTGAGGCCCGAGAGCTGGGGTGCTGACACACACCCGCGCAGCCACCCCTCCCTGCCCTAGTGACACCATGCCTGGTGGTGTCTGTGGCCTCACGACCACCCTGAGGAGTTGGAACTTTGTACTGCAGACCTCAGGTGGTTACTTTTGGAGCAAATTAGTGCACATACTTTCTCTCACATGCCAGCAGAGGCAGAACGGAGCACTGCATGGAAACCCACAGAAGTCTAGGAAAGCCCTCAAGTCGGAAAACACCCACAGAAACCCTCAGCTCTCACCCCAACAAGGCTCTGAGCACGTTGTTGTGCTCAGCCCCAGCTGTAGAGAGCACTGTGGACTCCCAGGGCATCAAAGTTCTGTGTACAGGAACCCTCAGGCTCCCAGCAGTAGGCCCGAGGCACAGAGACCCTGAGGGTGTGTGCCTTCCCATGGGAACCTCAGTTCAGGGAAACAAACAGTGCCCTTTTATCCCCAAGATTTTGCATTTTGGTAAATTCTCTTATAATTCTTAAGGAGAAGTATGAATAAAATAGCCTAAAAAGGTCATTTCAAGAGCACTAAAATAATCTGAAGGGCTAGAACTAAAAGCTTGTTATCCATAGCTGATGAGAAGAACACAGCTCGGTCCTGTTCTGGATCACAGCACTCATTACTGACCCTTGCTAGTTTATGTGAAAATTGAGGGTCCATCCAGGTGTTCCCACAGCCCCTGAGTCCTCTGCAGTCAGACATAAAATATGGAAACTGCAACTGGCACCAAGAGCTTTAAACTTTACAGAGCTAATTACAATTACTCTTATATTGCCATTTCCTTTTTCAAAAATTATAAACCACTTTAAAATTCAGTGTATTGGTCTGAGAGCAGATTTAATCTGCTGGAAAGATGCTATTTGAAACTATTGTACTGATGGGTCATTTCACAACTCCTACATATAAATATTAATAGATGCCTACCTTCCTTAAGAGAGAGCACAAGATCAAGGAAGACAGGACAATGTGGGGAGCTACTGTAACTGTTTTTCTGCATTTGGCTAGGATTTAGGATTACAAAACAAATATTCAACAGATCAGTGTGCTGATTACTTCACAGTCGGAAACTTCATGACACATGTACGTTAGGCTCCCTGACAGCACTGTTTAATGCGTCTGATTCACCTGACGTAAAGTAAACACATGGGCATATTTCTGGATGACCAATGCGATGTCGGAAACACTTGGTGACATGCAAGTGGCTGAGTCTGTGGCATTTTGGGGGTCAATGACCCATCTGCTGTCCTCTGAATGAGCTATTGTTACATCCCAGAAAATTATTTCTAGCAAGAAGTAAATTTGCATAGCACGACACACGTCATTTATTAGTGTGCGGTGACGAAGACTGTGATAACAGTCGGTCGTGATTAAACGGTCGGTCGATGTGGGGAGACCACCTTGACTGACACAGAATCTCCACCTCTGCTGGCCTCAGCCCTTCCCTCCTGCATGGCAGGCGCCCCGCTCCTCCTGAGTCCTGCGGCCTTGCACATAGCAAATGGTCTCCTGTGAGGGAGTTGAAGTCCCTGCCTCAGAGAAAGAAGCACCAGAAGGGCCTGGACGCAGACCGCACGTTCCCAGCAGTGTCCAGAGACAGTGGTCCGCTCACGCACAGCCAGCCCTCTGAGGTTCCCCAGAGGTCCCAACAGCAGTTACTGCCAGGCAGGTGCCTCCCAGATGCAGCGTGGAGGGGCAGGTGGGAGGCAGCTGATCTCCAGAAGCCACAGCATCCTTGGAATAACGGAAAGAGAAGAGGTAACACAGGCCCGGGTGCTGGAGCTCTGTGCGCTGCGCTGAAACGCACAGCCAGGGCGTGGGGAGGCCCTGTGCCTGCCGGCCTGGAGAGTCCGCGGGAGTTGCGCGCCCCTTGGCAGTCGCCGGTCCAGGCACACGGTCAGCATGAGCCCCAGACAGACCGCAGCCTGCCGCCCACTCTCCTGGGACAGCAGGGCACAGATAAGGGCTCTGTAAAGGTGTGCTGCCTGTTGTCCAGTGCAGCGGCGGGGGGCACTTCTCTTTCTTTACTATTTTCTCCACCTTCATGCAATCTTTTCTCTAAATAAGCTATGAATATTGGGTTGAGACAGACAACAGTGAGCGATGAAGAAAATCCATTGTAAAGTGAAATCAGTTCCAAAATATTAAAACGATTATAAAACACTAAAAACCTCCACAGCCAAACCCAGTTGGTTCTTGGGGCTCTTCTCAGGAATGACACCTCTCAGGGAGCCTGGGCGGACGAGGGGCCGAGACTGTGGGCAGCAATGGGGAGGCTGAGATTCGCCCCGATCCCTCCCGAGTTGGGCAGCACCCAGCACCGAAAGGCCCAGACACGGGCTTTTGAGTTCCTTCATCTACTTTTCTAACATTAACTTTTAGTGAAAATAAAGCCACTTCTCTGGAAAAGCACTGCTTTTATCAAGTAGGCAGCAGTTCCTCCTCTCGCAAATGGGAATTTAGTGAATATCCTGCAAAAGAATCACTCGCAGTTGTACCCACTGGGCAGGAAGTGTGGGTGGGTGTGAAGGGTATGAGACTGGCAGTCTGAGAGCTGACTGACGGATGGACCTGTTTTCCAGGAGCACATGAGCCGGGAGGACGCCCGGGGCCTGACACCCAGGCAGTGCGCCGTCCTGGAGGAGACCCTGGCCACCATCAAGGTGAGGAGGCCAGCCCCACCCTGTGGCGTGTGCCTGCCCGGCCCCGAGGCTAGGAATTTCCTCCAGAGTGAGACGCACCCCTTCCCACTCTTAGCCTGCGTCCTTCACCCTGAAAAGGCAAGGTCCCTCTGTTGTGACTCGGTCCTGAAGTCAGACGTGTCTCCAGACCTGGTCGAACTGATGGTTCAGGGTCCTTGGGGTGAGAATTTGCTTTTCCCCTCTCTACGCTTGTTGAAATGAATTTTGAAACTTTCTACTCTCTCGGTAATGCAATAGATTGGTTTTATTTTCTGTCGGAAATCAGAGGCGTTGCCTTGCGGGCACTGAGCTCTCAGAGCCCAAGCTGATCGGCAGCTGAGTGCATGCTCCTCCAGGGGCCCGAACCCTGCTCCCCATCACTCCCGCTGTGGGCAGGCAAGCAGCGCACGTCTGTGTGGCCTTTATGCCTCCCGTTCTCTGGAGAGCTGTGCTGTGCCTGAGGGGTGAGCACTGGGCGGCGGAGACCTGCTGGGGACGGGGCACCCAGAGCGCGGCACCGAGACTTCTGACTGCGTGGCTGCTGCCGGCATTTGTCCTGAGGCTGCGGCCTCTGTGCCTCCAGGTTGAAACGGAAGGTGAAGAAGCCGAGCCGGCCGCATGTCAGTTCAGGCGGGGAGAGAACAGAACCGGGTGTGAAGGAGCCAGCAGAGTCTCTGTCGGGAAATGTGGTGATTTGGCAAAATCATTTTGAGGGAAAATAGAAGACAAAAATACAGGGAAAGTTCAAGACCAATTCTTCCTGAAAAGTATTTGGCAATATCTGAGTAAGAATGGACTTGTGTTTGGAGCCGCAGCAATGGCTATGTCTAGGAAAGCATCCCTAGAAAAAATAAAGGCCGGAGCAAGTCTGCTGAAGGTTTTGTAAGTGAGCCCTCCCCTGGGTGGTTTTCGAGAGAATGTTGCATGACTCAGAGACAGGAAAGGAATATGTTTCGTGGCAATGAGGAGAGGCAGTCAGTGCGTCCTGGCCCAGCCCGGCATTTCTCTGGTGGCCCCTGGTGAGGCCAGGACGCCACTGCCCCAGGCTGAGTCCCCCAAACCCCAAGACAGACCTGGCCCCAAGCAAGTCTCTCCAATCTGCACCTTGGCTGCTCCAATACCCTCCTGGGTCCAGTTCTGAAAACTCTCAGACCTGCCCACCACCAAGCTCTTTTCCTGTTCTTTGGCACAATTGAGTCCGGTTAGTGTGTCCAAGTCACGGCCCTCTCTTCCCGACTGGAGTCTGAGCTTGTCCTCCTGAGCCCACGGTCGGGTCCCTGGTCCCCTCGTCCCTCCTTTCTGGGATGCCACATCTCTGCCCACTCCCTGGTAGACGGCCCGTCTCCTGGGGTTGTGAGCTGATGTCTGCCACTGGCTTGGGAAAGCCCTGTCTTCCTCCAGTTTGTCTGCCTCAAGGCTTGCCCACACCTGTCCTGCCACTCAGGAACTCTGGTACTGACTGTGGAGTCACTCAGCACTCAGACAGGACAAGAATAATCAGCCACACTTTGCAGATGAAAAACTGGAGGCAAGGACACCTGGGTTTTGTCCACCACTGCAGTGCCACTAGTAATTTGCAGAGCTGAGAGACTCCAAAGCCAGCGTCCCAGTTCCTTATTCTACGGTTTACAAAGTGTGGGTAAAACACAGCAGGCCAAAATAGACCATGTTGCATTGGAAAATTTTGATTACTTCAATTATTTTCTAATTATTGAAAAACAACTTAAAGTCTCTATAAAAGTATCCATGAAAATATGAATTCACTGAGACAGTTAAACTGCACCCGAGCTGCCAGTCTCAGAGCTTCAGTTCTGAGGAGCACGGACCACGGCACAGAGAACAGAAACCGTGGTCACTGGCCACACAGGGCTGCCGGGCGTGGACACGTTTCCCTGGCCTGCTAACCAGCTGGACTGGTGGTGTTTGAAAGCGGAAGGAGCAAGAGGGGAACCCACTTGAAAGGTGCTCACTGCCTTGGCAGTTTCCGGAGCCACATAGCGACGGTGGCTTCTTTCCTCGGGAAATCTGACCTGCTCCTGAAGGCGCAAATCCAAAGGCTGAAGACAATTCTCAAATCTCGAACAACCCTCAGATTACTTTGTGATGAAGTTTGAAATATACAGAATAATACTAGCTGCTTCCGGACTTCCTGGACCACTCCCTATGCGGACCTGAACACCCACACCGCAAGATGTGCGGGGAGATGTTTGAGCTCAGGGAACAGCGACTCTGAGCCTTCTCTGAAAACAGCAAACATGTAGGGCCCAGCCTCTAGAAGTCTGCATTTGTTAGTATAAAGAAACTTACACCAAACATGAATTCAAATACAGCTCTGGAAGTTACTTTCCCCTTCTTACTCAGCCGTAGAGAGCACGTTCCTTCTACACAAGATTCTTGACAAACAGCTGAGTTTGACTTTGAACCACATCTTAGGAATGTCTGAGCCCGCTGAGATCTGGTCCCTTCCTGCTCTCTATGCCTCTCAGCATCTCTTTTAAATCATCACAAGTAAAGTTTTCACATTATTTCAAATTCAGCACATGGGCAAAACAAAATAATCACCTCGTTTCCAGTATTGCAACTGAAAAATCACTTGACAGCTTACTGTAAGGAGAAAGAGTGAGTCAGACGGAGAGAGGTCTGGCCTCACACCTAGGAACAGAGACGTGCACAGGGAGCGACGGAAGGAATTGGGAATGGCGCTCTGAGGAAGCTGTGAACAGTGTTGCGTTTGCTGTGGGTGTCTGGGGGAGTCGTCCGCCCAGAGGACCCTCTGGTGATTGCTAGGAAGGAGGGCTGCAGAGCGTTCTAGGGCCTGGCAGGGTGCTGAGTGGCCCCAGTGAAGGCATCGGCAGCCTAGAAGCGTATGCGGGGAGGAGAGGGTCGCCCGGCAGGACGGAGGGCGTCCACCCACCGGAGCCAGTCGCTGAGGCTGGATGCCAGGGGAGACCCAACTGAGTTTGTCTGCAAAAGGGAGGCGCTGAGGCACGTTCCAGGAGCAGCTATCCGATCGGGCGTACAGAAGGGGTTTCAAGGAAGTCAGCACCATTTCTCAGGATCCGTCAGACCCTTTCTAAAAACGAGAGGGTCGGGGTGGGTTATGCTTGCACCTAGACTTGCAGAATGAACCGTCTGGGTGGATTTGCCAGAAATGTGACACAAGAGTGAGGATAGAAAACTGCTACCAAAATAACGTCAAGAAAACCAAGAAGGAAATTCCTACTGCGATCTTGTGAAGAAACATTAACATGTTCCCATGAGTCAGTAAAATAGATTTTGAAAAAAAAAAGATTTTGAAAGATAAACAGTATATGACAAATATGAAGAGTTAAGAGAATTTTATTTGGATTGCAGAAAGAATGGCTTGCTAAGCACACACTGAGCCTTTATCCTGACTTCTTACTTAGCAGTACTCTATCTCAAAAGTCACAGCCGGGTAGAAAGCATTGCATTTTCTGCAGGTTCATGAAAAATAAAACAGGAAAGAAAACTTGTTACTTTTCAAGGTAAAGAAAATGATACTTTGTAACGGCTCTTTCCATTTCCCATTTGAATGCAGTAGGAACAGTGTATTAAGGTGATGGGGTGGATGGCGTCATGACGTTAGGAGAGGGGCGTGGACGCACTGGGAAGCCAGCACCTGACCTTCTGGAGAATCCAGCAGCAGAAGGATGAGGCAGCCTGAGGGGAGCCCCATGGAGGTGGTGCAGCTCACGGGACTAGGAAGAGAGCACTCAACGGGCTGTCCCATACAGAGCCCAACAGTTCCTGCACACAGAAACTTCATATATGTGACCCAGGGCCCGAGGCCCTGTCCTCAACCACTGGGCCCTTACCCTGCGTTGTCCGGACAGATCTGTCACCTGTGCGCCTTCACGCTCACTGCGAAAGAACCGTTTCTTAAAGAGAATGACAGTGCAATTATAAAACACGTCAGAGTGCCGCTCAGCCCACCACCGAGTGAGAGCTGGTGAGACGTTGTGATGGCTCACAGTTGGGTCCACACGTACACACAGTGAGCCTCGCTGAAGTAAAGTCACAAACTCAGCCAACAGATCTGTCTGCAGTCCGTGATAAGCCGCTGGAAGCCATTACAGTGGACACTGAAGTTAGTCCGGCCTGACATACAAACAACTCGGGTTACAACTGGAATTGTAGTTTTAACTTATGAACAGTCTTGAGCTATGTTCCGAATGCTGGCTGCTTTTGCTTCCAGATGGTCTCATATAGAGCCCAGCCATGGGTCTCCATCTCCTACGAGACAGTGCAACACCCAGGAATAGGAAAAAGAGAGAGAGAACAAAGGACGCGGACAGAGAGAGGCTGGGTCTGGGGCTGACACAAGCTGCTCCAGAAAGCAGGGACAAAGACCCCAAGGACGCCCAGTGTGTATCTGTTACAAGGAGGGAGCCGGCAGGCCTCAGACACTGCTGATGACGGTATGAAAGGCAGGCGCACTGGAGAACCTTCTGAAGAGGGGAACAATCGTTCATCCAGGGCGCGGAATTCAGTTGGTGTCAGCTGACCTTGGCTGGAAGTGAACTCAACCGAGCCCTGCTGCTTCACTGACGAGGCCTTAAGTCTGGGTAGCAGCCATCAGCAGAGGAGTAATACAAGCCCAACTCTGCTATCTGACCTGCCTGTTTGAGACACCTAGGCTTTGGTCAGACTCCTAAGGTAACACAGCCCAGTCCTAGGCGGGCAGTCCTGCTAATGCTCTGCACAGGCGTCTGCTACAGTCTCAGATGCACATTTAACCCTAAAGAGCCCTGGAAGGAACACGACACATCCTTTTCTGTGTGAGGTTAACTGGGAAATCCTGGGCCAGTGTCTCCCTAAGGACGCTGAGATCTGCCTGTGTACAGCAGAGAGACTCCGAAGGCTGTGCAGAGGAGCCTGAGCCTGCACTGACCTGCTTGAGTTACAGGCAGCCCAAGGGAGCAAATCGGCGATAGCTTTGACTCGCTCCTCCCCTGCCCTTCCTTCCCCTTCTGGGTCTTTCCTGTTGCTGGCTCTGTCTACAGCCGCGCTGGCATCTTCCTTGGGGTGGCTGTCCCTTCGGGGGTGCCTGGGTTCACCATGGAAACACCTCCAGAGCATGCCCAGCCCTCTTCTGAGGCCGGAGAGCTATGACCAGGCTACGCCTCCCCATCAGTACGTCCATGTAATATTTTTCCACTCTTACGTATCATACGTTTCTTGAAGAAAAGAACTCATCCTTTTTCATCCTTCAAGGTGCTTGCAGCAATTTTGGACTCCTGGTCCTCAATGTCTGTGTGTGAAAATATTTTAACATTTCTATAAGAAAATCAAAATGTGCAGTATCTTTAAGCATTACAGTGTGGCCTCCTCTGAGGAGTGAGGAAAGGCTTCCTGAAGCCGTGGCTTCAACTCGCTTTCCCACCAACAGCACGCAGCTGGCATCCGCAGGAGACGCTCGCGTGACCAGGGCCTCTTGGGGAGGAGTGCTTCCCATTACTCGCCTCCTCTGGGTGCACCCTGATTTTCCTAGATTGCTGCAGACACTCTGGACCTTGCAGGTGCCTGGAATATTTTACTTCTGTGCACCACTCTTTGAACACTGAGATAAGCTTGATTTTTCAGCTCACTGTTCTTAAAGAGCGGGGCAGGGTGACGCACGTTCATTTCAGTGTGCGGATCAGAGTCACAGTTTGCATCCTTGGAACCCTGTGCTCTGTGCGGAGGACAGGCCCAGCAGCCACAAGGACCAGGCACTCAGTTTCCCCCAGCACTACGGCCAGGGAAAGAGAACGACCTCCTCCGAGCACGCTGGAGTATTGTAAATGTTATCGCCTCTGTAAATGTTCGGAGGAGACATCGTGTTCTGGCACCTCTTTCTAGGCATCCTGCCTTCCCAATCACCTGTGCATAACGCAGGAAAAGTGCAGCCCCTCTCCGTGGTCCTACTCATCGTCAGTGTGCAGGCAGCTCCCCTACCACCTTGGGTATAAACTGAAATTTTGGAGTTTTATTGGATGGTGATAACAAAAAGCAAAACAGAAACCCAACCCCGAATGTTGTCTTAGGTTTCTCAGACACACAAATTTCCCAGGAAGTCAGCCTGCCCGATTGACTTCTGCACTTCACAGATGGTGAGATGGGGCTGTGGGCCCTGGCCCAGAATCTTACACTGGCACTTGTGGATTGTTGACACCTAGGTGTGCTCTCGTGCTCTGCAGACCGGCGTGGGTAACAGCTGACCACCCACACCAGGGCTTCTCATCCCGAAGGCTGCCGGCAGGGCTCCTTCCGTCCCCCGCGGGTAACTGAAGCTGGGCTGGGAGGAAGAGCCTTAGGCCTTCGAGAACCTCGTTAGACGACGACGGAGGATGATGGTTCGCGTGGAGCAAGTGCTTCGTGCCTGTGTGTGTGTGCCTACCTCGGTCGTGCGGTTATTCTTTTGAGCTTTGCTGTTTCAGGAACAGAGCCCTTCCTCCACTGCTTACGTGACTTTCTTTTTCTTTTCAGCAATACTTCCATGCCGGAGGAAACGGCCTGAAGAAGAATTTCCTGGAGAAGAGCCCGGATCTGCAGTCTCTGAGATATGCTCTCAGCCTTTACACCCAGACCACTGACGCCTTGATAAAGAAGTTCATAGACACGCAGACTTCGCAGTGTAAGTAACGCGGGAGCGGAGGGCCGGGCGGATGCTCCCGCCTAGGTGCGGCAGAGCCAGAGACTTGTGACGCCCCCGCTCCGGGACAGCCCAGCCTGGCAGCCTAGCGTCCTCGCCAGCCTTGTCTCAAGTGCTGAGCGGTGCCGGAGATGTAGCTCAGCGCTCGTATCGGCGCTCACCACGCCTCTGCCCGGAGAGGCTCCAAGCTGAGCAGGGCGCTAGGTGCAGGGGTTTGGCCCCGGTGGACAGCGGTATCGGCCTGGAGAGGTGGCTTGCTGCAGCGATGGTTGCACCTCTGGGATGTCAGGGGCGGAGCCCGGTGCTGCACACAGCAGCCCTGGAAGAGCAACAGCATCTTAGAAATGACAGCCGCGGGAGGCTGAACCTTGAGAAATTGGGCAGGTTCCTGTCCCTGGGTAAAAACGCCTGAAACCACAGCTTCGGGGAGGGAGGTTTGTTTTGGCTCATGGTTTCAGGGCTCCGGTCCACGGTCAGCGGGCTGTCGGGCAGGGCCATCAGGGTGGGACAGTGAGCTGGAGGGGGCTGCTCGGTACGGGGCATCGGGAAGAGGCCGGGCGGAATATGATCCCCGAGGTCCCCGGCCGCTCCCTCCTCCGAGGCCCACGCAGCTCCGTGCACATCAGTGGCCTCACCGCTGTGGCGAGCTGCTGCCGCTCCAGCTGGTCTCCTCTCCATGACCATCGAGGCTTCCCAGCACACAGTGGACGCTGGGCCGGGCGGCAGGACGGATATGTGGCCTGAGGAGACCGGGTCAGGAGCACAGGAGCGGAAAAGTGTTTGAGAGTAGGAGGCCTCCGGGGAAGCCCAGTGCGCACTCCTAACTAACATCCCCACACAGCAAGTACAAAAAGTTTTTTTAATTAGGAAAAAGTGCTTATTTTCCTTTTAAAATAAGATGTGCCAGATTAGCAGCTATTTTGATCAATAGATACTATGAAAGTGGTCGTAGATTTTTCTGTGTCAGTTTGAGATCGCATTCATACAACTTATTTTAATATTTATAATTTTTAGATTTTTTTTGCCTTCAAGAGTTGGCTCCGTGGTTTAAACTGAATATTTAGCTTGAAAAATTGCACCTTTTTTTCATTATTTCCCCGGGAGGTGTTACTTACAGCTTTGGAAGCTAATGCAAAATGATTCCTTGCATCTTGATTATAACATCTATCATACAGTTTTCCTACGGTTATTTCATTATACTAAGGGCTCTCTGAATATTTCATACAGTAGCAGACAGTGACAAATGAACCAGACTCGAACACAGTATAAGTAGAGTTTTCAGAGGGTAACAGCACAGTTTGGAACAAAGCACAGAATGATGAACGCCCAGGCGTCCCCGATCCTATTCTGTTTCTTATCTGGGTTTTTATTACAACACAAAGAACGAGAATCACAAAGGCTTTGCACAGAAAAGAGATATGTAACATCTAAGTTAAAATTCTGGAGAAGAAAAATAAGCTTTTATAGTGTGAAGTAAAATGTATGAGTGAGTAGTTTTATTCTATGATCCATCTTCTTTTTCACCTCTCATGAGTAAAATCTTTGAGTCCCAGCTTGTTTGAAGTTTCTTACAATTTATTTTTTTTATGCAGTTTATTGGTACATTTTAGGTATACAATACAGTTACATTCGTCATTGGGATCTTGTACATTTACATGACAGGTCTTGGTTCTCATTTTTTCCCCTTGTCCCTGCCCTCCCTTCACCCCCTCCTCCCCTCCCCATTTACAAACACTTTATTTCCATTTTTTCATTTTCTCTTATTTTTTCTTTTCCCTTAATACCTTTCCCCTACCCTTCCCACTTTCCCTACACCTTTAGCCCTTTTCTTCCTATTTCACATTGTTAATTATCCCATTAGGGTCTTGTGTACTATTATAGTTTTTCACACCAGAGAAACTATTTGGTATTTACACATGTGTGACTTATTTCACTTAGGTGTATATCCTCAATATGTATCCATTTTCCTATGAATGAATCTAATTTCTCATTCTTTATGGCTGAGTACTATTCCATTTTATAGGAAAGCTACATTTTCTTTATCCAGTCTCCAACTGATGGGCAAATGGGCTGTTTCCAAGTTTTAGCTATTACAAACTGTGCCACTACAAACATAGGTGTGCATATATCCCTGTGATATGATTCTTTTAATTCTATTGGAAAGATACCCAGCAGAGGGATGGCTAGGTCAAAGGGAACCTCTAGTCCCACCTCTTTGAGGTATCTCCATATTGATTTCCATAGTGGTTTCACCAGTCTGCACTCCAACCAGCAAAGGAGAAGGGTTCCTTTTTCCCTGCAACCCTGCCAACATTTGTTACTGTGTGATTTCATGATAGCAGCCATTCTTTGTGGGGTGAGGTAGAATCTCAGTGTTGTTCTCATCTGCATCTCTTGAATGATCAGTGATGTAGAACATTTTTTCATATATTTACTTGCTGCTTTTACTTCTTTGTCTGAGAAATTTCTTTTTATTTCAGATGCCGGTTTTTGAATCGGGTCTTTATATTTGGGGGGGTTGATTGTTTTGAGTTCTTTATATATTCTTGATAACAGTCCTTTGTCTGAGGAACAGCTGGTAAAAATTTTTTCCCACACTGTAGGTTGCCTCTTAGTTCTGCTGATGGTTTCTTTTGCAGTGCAGAAGCTTGTTAATAAGATGAGATCCCAGTTGTTGATTCTTTCTGCTAGTTCCTGTGCTACTGAGGATTTGTTCATGAAGTCTTTTCCTATGCCATTGTCTTCAAGAGTTCGGCCTAACTTATCTTCCAGCAAGTTTAGTGTTTCTGTTTTAATATTTAGATCTTTAATTCACTTGGATTTTAATTTAGTGCATGGTAAAAGATAAGAGTCTAGTTTTAATCTTTGGCAGGTTAAGATCCAGTTTTCCCAACACCATTAATTAAAGAGGTTATCTTTCCTCCAGTGGGGATGGTCAGCTCCTTTGTCAAAGATGAGGTCGCTGAGTACATCTGGAGTTGTTTTTGTGTCTTCTAGTCTGTTCCACTGATCTTTGGGTCTGTTTCTTTGCCAGTACCATGCTGTTTTTAATCACAGTGGCTTTGTAGTATAGTTTCAAATTGGGAATGGTTACACCTGGTGCCATGTGACTGTTGCCTATAATGGCTTTTGCTATTCTAGGTCTCTTATGGTTCCAAATGAATTTTTGGATTCTTTTTTCTAGTTCTTTGAAATATAGTGCTGGAAATTCAATTGGCATTGCATTGAATTTGTAGTGTGGCCATTTTCTCTATGTTGATTCTTCCTACCCAGGAAGATACCCAGGATATCTTTCCATATTCTTATATCCTCTTTGATCTCTTTTTTCAGAGTGCCATAGTTCTCAGTGTAGAGGTCTTTTGCTTCTTTTGTTAGAGTGATTCCTAGATACTTCATTTTTTGGATGGTATTGTGAAAGGAATTGTTTCCCTAATTTCTCTCTCAGTGAGTCTGTTATTTGAGTACAAGAAGGCTATGATTTTTGGGTGTTGACCTTGTATCCTGCCACTCTGCTAAAAGTGTCAATTAAGTCTAGAAGTCTTTTGGTGGAGTTTTTTGGGTCTTCAATGTAGAGTATCATATCATCAGCAAATAATGACAGTTTAACTTCTTCCTCTCCTATCTTTATGGCTTTAATTTCTTTCTCTTGTCTAATTGCTATGGCTAATGTTTCCAGAACTATATTGAAGAGGAGTGGTGATAGTGGGCATCCTTGTCTTGTTCCTGATTTTAATGTGAAGGTTTTCAGTTTTTGGCCATTTAATATGTTGGCTATTGGTTTTTCATAGATAGCCTTTATTAAGTTGAGATATAGATCATCTATTCCAATTTTTTGCAGGGTTTTTATCATGAATGGGTGTTGAATTTTGTCAAATGCTTTTTCTGCATCTATCGAGGGGATCATGTGGTTTTTGTTCTTGACTCTGTTAATATAGTGTATTACATTTATTGACTTGCATATGTTGAACCATCCTTGCATCCCTGGAATAAATCCAACTTGGTCAGGATGTATGATCTTCTTGATGATCCTCTGTTTTCTTATAATTTAAATTAGATCATTCTGGTCATTCTAATAATCTTGGACTCTTGGGATCTATGAATATATTGCAACATAATAGTTACACTGAGTTGAATGTTATGTGGCATTGGCCAGTCTCGTGTTTATAATTTAAGTGGGGAATTTTCTGACAGTGTCTAGAATAGTGCACAAAAAAGTAGGATACTGGATCGTACATCCCCAAGCACACTTTCTGTCTCAGCAGTAAGACTTGGAATCTCTCAGAGGAGGCTTCTGGGTCGCGTTACCTGGTGAAAGCATTAATTACCGTGATTATGCTCCTCAAGATATGAACAGTGTGCCTGGAGGAAGCAAAGAAACCATGCTCTGAACGGTCTCTGTGGACAGGTCTGTTCCTGTCAGACCTTCAGGGACCCAGCTAACCTCTCCTTGTCAGAAGAGCTGGCGCTGAGAGAAGTGCACTTGAGGCCCACGAAGCTGGGAATCCCAGCCAGGCCTGTGCCACTGCTGGGCCCGGACCCGTGCTCAGCCAGCGCTGCTCTGCATCAGGGAGGTCAGCACGGGACAAGTGAGGGGACGGGTGTCCAGCTGCTGGACCAGCCTCTGGCCACGAGACGGAGGAAGAGTGCTGGTCCTGGTGTAGCTTCTCTGCCGGTGCTCACTGGGCAGATGAGGCCAGGAGGGCAGGTGGCAGAAATAAGGCCCCCACTGATCCAGTTGCTTCCACGGAAAAGAAACCCTGTGTGTGGGACGAGGTCCCAGGCCGGCTTCCTCCTCGTAGCTTGTGAACGTCAGGTGGGGTTTTTCCTCCTCTTCACCCTCTATTTGACCTCCTGAATCTCCGGTCCAGGCAGGAGGTGAGCTCTGCGCTGATGCTTTTTGTTTCCAGGTAAACAGAGTTGGGGGCGCTGCACTGCTGTGTGCCCGGCCAGGGCCTCCATGCTGGGTACACTGCCCGCAGGGT